GTGAATATCCATCATTTTAAAGTCAAAAGCTGTGGGAATGAGTAAAACTATACGATATAACCTATGCGCAATCCCGCACCGAAATTGATGACCTGATTAAACACAATTCTATTATACAGAGTTTTGTGAAATAGATTTCAATGACTTTTCCAAAACTTTCTGGGTTTATTTATTTTTCCAAAACTTTTCCAGGCCTGGAAATTGGTGTTTTAAAATTCCATGACTTTTCCAGGTTTTTCATGACCGTACGACCCCTGTAAATATCTCAATCTCATTTCTCACAGACAGAAATGAGATTTAGATGAGACTTTTGAAGAAGCCTACAGCTTCGTTGATGTTTTAATGAGAAAAAGATCCCTCTAATCTCCTTTAGAGATGTTTTGCTTTACAAAAAACTCTCTCAGACTGTGATTCAGAAGTCACAGATGTCTACTATATATATATATATATATATATATATACTGTATGTACACACACTACCGGTCAAAAGTTTGGGATCAGAATGATTTTTGTTTTTTACAGGGGTTTCTTCTGCTCATCAAGGCTGCATTTATTTGATCAAAAATACAGGAAAAATTTAATATTGTGAAATATTATTATGATGTAAAATAACATTTTTCTATTTTAATAAACATTAAAATCTAATTAATTCCTGTGATGCAAATCTGTATTTTCAGCATCATTACTCCAGTCTTCGGCGTCACATGATCTTCAGAAATCATTCTAATATGCTGATTTATTATCAGTGTTGAATAATAAGTGTTGTGCTGCTTCATATTTTTTTGGAACCTGTGATACTTTTTTCAGGATGCTTTGATGAATAAAAAGTTAAAAAGAAGAGCATTTATTTAAAATAGAAATCTTTTCGAACAATATTCAAAAGTTTGGGGTCAGTAAATTTTTATTCTTTCTTTTTTTGAAAGAAATGAAAACTTTTATTCAGCAAGGATGTGTTAAATTGATAAGAAGTGACAGCAAAGATTTATATTGTTAAAAAAAGATTTATATTTTGAATAAATGCTGTTCTTTTTTACTTTTTATTCATCAAAGAATCCTGAAAAAAGTATCAGTTTCCAAAAAAATATTTGGCAGCACAACTGTTGATAATTCTAATAATAAATCAGCATATTAGAATGATTTCTGAAGATCATGTGACACTTTATACTGGAGTAATGGCTGATGGAAATTCAGCTTTGCATCACAGAAATAAATTATATTTTAAAGGATATTAAAATAGAAAACATTACTTTATATTGTAATAACATTTTGCAAGACTACTGTTTTTTACTGTATTTTTGATCAAATAAATGCAGCCTTGATGAGCAGAAGAGACTTCTTTAAAAAACATTACAATTCTTACTGATCCCAAACTTTTGAACGGCAGTGTACACATTTTATATATATATATATATGTGTGTGTATGTGTGTGTGTGAGTGTGTGTGTGTGTTTTATATATATATATATATATATATATATATATATATATTATGATTTAGATTATGTTTAGTATATTGCGCGGTGTTTTTACAAAGTGAACATTTCAAATCAAGAAGGAAAGAAAGAAAAGGTTACTTGTGACTAAATCACTCGTTCAGTATTTCTGGGTGAATCTTAATACCTCCAAATAAACAGAAATGAATAAGATATTTAATATTGCTTTAAGAAAATCCATTATAGGGCTGTTACGATTTTGTGCTTTTAATGACAATTTACATTTTAATAAATAAATGTAATATTACAATTAGAATTAAAATTAGATGATACATTTAGTAAATTCAAATATCAAATATGCATTACATTTAAATATTGAATACATTTAAAACTTAAATCAATGTATTACATGGGAAAAAAACTACAGAAGATCTCATTCATGGTTCCCTTTCATGGGAACTTCGAACTGCGTCCTCTAGGGGTCGCTATGGGGAACGCCTCGTCGTGACTCGTATCTGAAGCATACATTGAAAAAACACCAACTCGTTGGCCGGCGACAGCCATGACGTCACTACCGGTGCGACTACAGTATAAATCGGTGCCGGGAGCTACACATCATTCTCTTCTTCGTCTTCATTGACTGTTCTGTTTGAAGCGTGCATTTTCAAGGAAAAAGTAAGAGCTATCTATTAATATTATGGCGAGCACTAGTAGAGCATTTAGAAGGTGTGTGCATCCGTGTCAGCGCTATTTGACACCAGATGACACACACGATCTATGTGTTGTTTGTTTGGGCGAGGAGCACGCACGCGATGTCCTCGAGGGGGCAATCTGCGTGCATTGCGAGTTTTCTCCAATGAAAAAACTCCGTTCTCGTTGGTCTCTCTTTTCAAGTAAAGAGGGGCAGCCATCTGCTTCCCGCGGTTCAGGACCCGCCGCTGCTGAGGCACGGAGGAGAATGAGCTCGTGGGGATCTCAGGTGGACCTGGCCGATGAGTTTAGAGAGGGACTTTCCTTCTCGCGCTCATCGGCGGGGGGCGAGAGACAGCCACTGGAGGATGATTTTCTCTCTTTAACATCATCTGATCCAGGGGCCAGTGCTCTGCTGGTTTCAGCCCAGGAAGAGCAGGAAATGGATGATGAGAGCGAAGAAGCTGAGGCTGAGCCTTCTCAATCCTCCTGCCCTGCATATGATGAGCTCTTAGAGGTTATGGATCGCGCCACGGCAAGACTTGACTTGCCATGGAAGCGGACTAAGGAAGTGGCGTCGCGAGGTCGTCTCGACGAACGTTATCTTTCTGGCCATAACCCTCCAGCTCAGGTGAGTCTTCCTTTCCTTCCTGATCTCCATACTGAGATCGAGAAGGAATGGAAGAAGCCGTTTTCCTCACGCATCCATCGGTTTCAGCATACCAGTTATGCGAATATCGAGGCGGTGCGCGAAAACGGCTATGAGAGAATGCCCCCTGTAGAAGAGACGCTAGCTAGCTATCTCTCTATGGGAGAGACATCATCTCTCAAAACCCCCTCCTTGCCATCCATGCCTCTTCAAGCTACATCTAAAATGAATGGCAAGGCATACGCAGCAGCAGGTCAGGCTGTTGCTTCACTGCACACGATGGCGGTGCTCCAAGCATACCAGGCTGATCTGCTGAAAGACCTGGATAAAGGCGAGGGCCTTTCTTCTGATGAGATGGCTGAGTTACGCCGCACCACGGATCTTGCTCTTCGTGCTACTAAGCAGGCTGCCTCTGCCATGGGCAGATCTATGGCAGCGATGGTAGTAACGGAGAGGCAGCTGTGGGTAAACCTGGCAGACATCGGGAAGAAAGAAAGGGGTTTTCTTCTCGATGCCCCGGTTTCGCCCTCTGAACTTTTTGGTACATCCGTTGAGACGGTCATCGAAAAGTTCAGGGAGGCGAAGGCACGCTCAGCGGCCTTCAAAACCTTCATTCCACGAAGGTCCAGGTCTGAGCCCGAACAAACCAGGGGTCCTGGCCCGTCTCGATTTGAGGATCAGAGACGAGCACAGAAGGCTAGTGTCGCGACTCGCGCTCCTCCTCCGCCTGCGGGTAGGGGTAGGAAGTATCGTGGGTCGAAGGGAGGTAGGCAAGACCTGAGGGATGTGATCCAGACAAGGCGTCAGAGCTTTCGTCCGGATCAGAGTAATACTTAGGTATCCACTCTTTCCCTCAGGGGATGTAACATCTACCCCGTTCTATGGTTAATCATAGTAACCACCTTACTGAAGGTCCGGTCTAGAGGCTTTCCGGACAGAGCTCCAACGCGGGAGCCGTGGTGGGTGAGTACGATCCATGTCTAAATATATGTATATAAATATATGTATGTGCTATGGAACTGGTGGTTGTGTGTACCCTTCTGCTAGTTTCTTTGCAGTGTTTCCCGTGCTGGGTTCAGAAACCGGGTGCTCGACTTGCAGTGTTTATAAACTCACTCGTCGAGATATGTCCAGAAGGTAAGTAAGGTTTCGGTTTCATACTTCGACACTGCGTCCTCTAGGTTTCTTGCCATGCTGCGGACGCAAGCTTCAGACGAAGAAGTGAATGATGTGTAGCTCCCGGCACCGATTTATACTGTAGTCGCACCGGTAGTGACGTCATGGCTGTCGCCGGCCAACGAGTTGGTGTTTTTTCAATGTATGCTTCAGATACGAGTCACGACGAGGCGTTCCCCATAGCGACCCCTAGAGGACGCAGTGTCTCGTTCCCTACTCAGGGAACCATGGTTACATAAGTAACCCGAGACGTTTTTCTTTCTTACAGAAGACCAGATATAAACAAGGGACGTGGTTTCTAAAGTCTTCCCATGAAAATCAAGTCTTATGGTTTTATGTAGATTATATTTAGTCCATGACTTTAGAGCAGGTTTAACACTGTGGACATTCTATGATGCAAATCAGCTGCTTTGTATTTTAAAATCTAAATAGCAGGGGGATTCTGTCAACAAAGTGACGAATACAAACAGACATAAACACTAGTGACTCGTGAGACTCTGACTTACCAACACACGTCTGTCCGTCGCTGGCGAACTGGAATCCGTCCTGGCACTCGCAGCGAAACGTTCCCGGCTGGTTATTGCAGACAGCGTTTGGCCCGCAGATCTGAGGAGCATCCCTGCATTCATCGATGTCTGATGAGAAAAGAGAAGCTGACCAATCCTGAGGATTTCCGCAAGCTTTTTTAGACTTTGCTTTAATGCTATCTTAAACAAAAAGACTTCCTCAGTCACATTCTCATGAATTACTAACAATGATACAGTCGGTTCTCCTAATTACTGCTCTTTAAGATAACATCTGTCCAGTTTTTCTGTAATTTCCTTTAAGCAGCAAGGGATGGGTCACATCCGTAGAGGTCTGGGCAATTTTGACGTCTGATTAGAAGTCTGTTTTGGAAACAGCCCCCTTAGGAAGCCAAGCAGTACTTTCATGGACAAAAACTCCATTTCCCTTCAGAAGGAAGCTGATTAGTGGCCCGTTTTAAGAGGGAAATGAAACAGGAAATTGTTTTAATTGAAATGATGGACTGAGGATTGATTTAATTACGCAAAACCTGTGATGGTACCATAGCAAGCGCGTCCATCTCCAGTAAAGCCCGCGGCACATTCGCATGTGAACTGGTTTCCTTGTCCGGGTCTGCAGACGGCGTTAGTGTCGCAGCCGTGTCTGCCAGTGAAGCAGGCGTTTTCTTCCGTTTGTCCACCTGCGGATGTGGTATAAAAAGCAACTGTTATTTCCCCAGAAGATCCATTACATACATTCAAAGAAAATTTTTTGTTTTTATCTCATAATTGAGAGTTCTCACAATTCTGATGTTTTTCTCGCAATTCTGAGTTTATATCTCACACTTCTCAGTTTATATCTTGAAATGTAGAGTTTATATCTCACAATTGAGTTTGTAACTCACAATTCTGACCTTTTTCTCACAATTCTGAGTTTATATCTCATACTTCTCAGTTTATATCTCATAGCCGAGTTTATATCTCATAATTGAGTTTATAACTCACAATTCTGACCTTTTTCTCACAATTCTCCGTTTTTATCTCATAACCGAGTTTATATCTCATAATTGAGTTTATATCTCACAATTGCGTTTATAACTCATAATTCTGACCTTTTTCTCACAATTGTTTATATCTTGCAATTCTGACTTTTCTCATTGAGTTTATATCTCACAATTGCGTTTATACGTTTATATTTCACAATTCTGAGTTTATATGTCGCAATTCTCAGTTTTTATCTCATAACTGAGTTTATATCTCACATCTCTCAGTTTATATCTTATAATTTAGTTTATATATCATAATTGAGTTTATAACTCACAATTCTGACCTTTTTCTCACAATTCTCCGTTTTTATCTCATAACCGAGTTTATATCTCATAATTGAGTTTATATCTCACAATTGCGTTTATAACTCATAATTCTGACCTTTTTCTCACAATTGTTTATATCTTGCAATTCTGACTTTTCTCACAATTCTGAGTTTATATCTCTTAATTGAGAGTTTTCTATTTCACAATTCTGAGTTTATATGTCGCAATTCTCAGTTTTTATCTCATAACTGAGTTTATATCTCACATCTCTCAGTTTATATCTTATAATTTAGTTTATATATCACAATTGAGTTTATAACTCACAATTCTGACCTTTTTCTCGCAATTCTCCGTTTTTATCTCATAACCGAGTTTATATCTCACAATTGCGTTTATATCTCACAATTGCGTTTATAACTCATAATTCTGACCTTTTTCTCACAATTGTTTATATCTTGCAATTCTGACTTTTCTCACAATTCTGAGTTTATATCTCATAATTGAGAGTTTTCTATTTCCCAATTCTGATGTTTTGTCTCACAGTACTGAGTTAATATCTCACATCTCTCAGTTTATATCTTATAATTTAGTTTAGACATCACAATTGAGTTTATAACACAATTCTGACCTTTTTCTCACAATTCTGAGTTTATATGTCGCAATTCTCAGTTTTTATCTCATAACTGAGTTTATATCTCATAATTAAGTTTATATCTCACAATTGAGTTTATATCTCACAATTGAGTTTATATCTCACAATTCTGACCTTTTTCTCACAATTCTGAGTTTATATCTTGCAAGTCTGACTTTTATCTCACAATTTTGAGTTTATATCTCATAATTGAGAGTTTATAACTCTTTAACTCGAATAAAGTTCTCACAATTCTGACCTTTTTCTCTTAATTACGAATTTATATATCACAATTCATACTTTTTTCTCAAAACTGCACGTTTGTATCTCATAATTCTGAGAACTCGCAATTGCAAGAAAAAACTCAAAATATTTAAATAAAAAGTAGCAATAAGTAGAAACCGCATGGTTGCCAGATTGGGAAGAGTAAGTAAAACTCTGGGCAGAAAAAATTATCAATTTAAGAGAAAAGCTCTGATTGGGGATTTAAAATCTTGGTTTTAATATCTGGCAACTGCAAGCATGAAAGCTTGTGGAGGCTTGTTACCAATGCAAGATAATGCAATTGTCAATTCCAGGATAAATAAGGCAAATTATACTTAATTAAGAGAAGCAGAAATCTTAGTCATGATTAAAATACTATTCCTCGTGCAGCCCTAGGCAAAATATTTTCTCAGATCTGCCCTTACCATTGACGTCTCCAATCTTGTTACTCATGGCGTAACGCAAGAGCTGTTCACCCGTATCATACATGACGAACACCTGGTCGACATTGAGCATCTGTGTGGACGGCAAGGCACTGACGACTTCATCGTGCTGGCAGCCCTGAAACGTGATGGTCTCTCTGAATTTGTAGCTTCTGCTTTGGGTTGAACGGTCCTGCAGATTGATCACATACTCCCGTGTGGATGAAGCGGTGATCACTGACAGAAGAGTCACACGAATCATTAGGTTTCATAATAGGACTTAAACGCAAATCATGACATATTGCTAAAGGAGATACTTCGCATCATGCATACTTACTGCATATTCACGCATGTTTTATCATCCATACTCAAGTATGTTTTATCATGCATACTCATACATACTCATGCATGTTTTATCATCCATAATCATGCATGCGTGTTTTATAATGCATCCTCATGTATGTTTTATCATCCATATTCATACATCCTCATGCATGTTTTATAATGCATCCTCATGCAAACTCATTCATGTTTTACTCATACATACTCATTCATGTTTTACCATCCATATTCATATATACTCATGCATGTTTTATACTGCATCTTCATGCATGTTTGATCATACATATACATCCTCAAGCATGTTTTATCATGCATACTCTTACATGTTTTATCATCCATACTAATGCATGTTTTATAATGCATCCTCATGCATGTTTTATCATCCATATTCATACGTCTTTATGCATGTTTTATAATGCATCCTCATGCATACTCATTCATGTTTTACTCATCCATACTCATGAATACTCACGTTTTATCATCTATACTCGTGCATGTTTTATCATCCATACTCATACATAATCATGCATGTCTTATAATGCATCCTAATGCATGTTTTATAATGCATCCTCATGCATACTCATTCTTGTTTCACTCATACATATTCATGCATGTTTTATAATCCATCCTCATGCATACTCATTCTTGTTTCACTCATACATATTCATGCATGTTTTATAATCCATCCTCATGCATACTCATTCGTTTCACTCATACATAATCATGCATGTTTTATAATGCATCCACATGCATACTCATTCTTGTTTCACTCATACATACTCATGCATATTCATGCATGTTTTATCATGCATACTTGTGCAAGTTTTATCATACATACTCATGCATGTTTTATCATGCATACTCATACATACTCAAAAAAGTTGTAATATGCAAACTCATGCATATTTTAGAATGCACACTTATACATACTCCTTTTTGTTTTATTGCTGCATACATTATTGTATTATTATGCATACTCATTATTGTTTTATGCATACACATGCAGTCATGATGGTTTGACTCACAGTTGGTGCTGTACTGGTAGATCTCTGTGTAGGGGTCAATCTGAACTGTGGCTCCCTGAGGAACCTCAGGAATCTTTCCTTCAAGTTTGGTGTCAACCATCAGGTGGTCGTGCTCATCAATGCCTTTGAACTCCTGAGAGATAGTCATCCTTTCCCCGCCAGGCTGGAAGGTCACGTCGGCCTGACGTCTGAACACTCCGCCTGACAGACAGGTCAAAGAGGGAGCGTGAGGCTGGATTTCAAACATACTGTATCACCGCACAGCAAACAACTCAAACTGATGTGTCAAAACAGAGAGTTTGCTGAAAATACATTGATTTTAAAACAATTGTTTATCAAAAAATATTTGCTGTATTCTGGCTCTTCTGCTCTTCCATCACAACACATCTTACAGCTTCCAATACATATAACACTCCATCATTACAAGTTTAAGTGCTTTTGCACCCAAATAACTACTCTGAAAATGTCATGCATGTTTAATAATGAAATTAGAAAGGGAAGTATTACTAGTACTCCTACATCCAGTAGTGAATGATTTCATCTGCATATGTCATAATGGAAAATAAAAGGAAAGACGATGAAGATTTAGGAAATACTGAACTATGAAGAAAGACGTCTAGCTATCGAAGTAAGGAGTTTTTAATGTTTAAGATACCAGCCACAGACAATCCTAAAATATGTATGCAGCTATATATTTTTAACGTATAAAGACCCCATTTATATTCTAAAAAAAGTATTAAAAAAATAAATACATGTAATAAATACGTATAAAATATTTGGAAAATAATTGGATTCAACTCACTGTAGTACTGTACTGTTAGATGTATTATTTAATCATTAATTGTTTTTATTTATTTATTTGTTTTTCCCAATTTATCCCTTGATCTAAATCAATGTTGTCTTAGTATCACTGAGATACTATTATAGTTTTTATTAATATTTAGATTTTTGATTATCAGTATTTCTTCTTTTATTTTTATATTTCCATTCTTATTTGCAGTAAAGTTTTAGTCATTTTGTTGTGTGTTTTTTTGCCTTTTTTAATAGTTTGTGTTACTTTTATATGTGTTTACAGTATCTGGTTTTTAATAATTTTATTGAATTTTAGTTTTAGTTATTTTAGTACATTAAGTAAATCAGGTTAAAATGTGAAATGTTGTCTCGCCAATAAGCTGAAGTAAGCTTTTTATATTTTATTTTGCGGTTAACGTTTATTTTGTAATGAAGAAGTTTTAGAGGATTTTTATGGTTTATTTATTTTTTTCAGTTTTAGTTAACTATAATAACCCTGAGCTAAATAAGATCTCCTTTACAATTTTTTATTTGATAAAAATGTTAAAAATGTGAATTCAGATGGCTCTTATTGAGGACTTCTCATTATATGAATTCTGAGAATCTCACCAATGATGCTGAAGCCGTTCTTGAAGCCCGGCTGCTGAAGTGCAAACGTCCAGCCGATGATTCCTCCGACGGACGACAGCGGCTGCAGAGAGAAGCCGACGATCGCTGGAATGGCGCTGATGGCCACATACGCTCTGCCGTCATTCACCACCACATACGAGTGGAGATCGTTACTGGCGAAGTCCACGGGCACCGGTGAGTTTCCCACGGACACCCTGCCGCTCACTTTCCCGTTCATCCTCTGAGGAATACCTGTGAAAGATCATCAGACATCATTATGACTGTAGCTGTTCTCAGGATTCAGATCTTACACTGAACCCAACACAGTACAAAAACTGTCTAATGTATGAAAGTAACAAAAATTCCATTTAACAGATTTCAAACATGAACTCTATTAATATTACCATAAATGGCCTAGCTTAACAATATGATTAAAGGTAAGAGAGACTGAAGATAAAAAATAACATTTTTGACAACAGCAGATGTGTGTTTACCAGCTCAACATGAAACATGTATTCATTTTAGTCATACTGTATTCAAATAACACTTCATTTTTTGTCCCAGAATATGACTGAGACAGTCTTTGATGTCAACAACAAATTATATGTGAAACATTGTTTATTCCAATAAAGGGTTTGGGAGTTGATGAGAACCTACTAATTAATTGAATTAGAAATTGTATTTTATATGTAAATATTTGGTTTATTAAAAGGGTTTAACACAATCAAGTGATTTAAAAAAAATCATAAAAATGTCAATTTAAAATAAATATTTTTTTTCATTATAAAAATAACAATAAACAACCAAAAAATACAGTTTTATTTGTTTGTCATGTAAAGTCTATTAGTCTTTTTTTTTTGCTGTATAAAATATACTTTTTATATTATTTTTTATATTATTTATAGAAAGATTTATAGATTATTTTTATTAAATATTTTGCATTTTATTACTTGCATATATATATATATGTGCAACAATAATAACATAATAATATATAATGTATTTATGTGATTAATTAGTTAATTTTTTTAATTGATTGACAGCACTAATATATATATATATATATGCTTTTTAAATACTAATTTATGCTCATAAATACTAACAATAAAGCACTTAATTTTTTTTGTGTCATGTGGCCATTAATGTGTTGCTCATTAATGTGAATGTGTTGCTAAATTTTTTTATTATTTATTATTTTACTCTGCTGTCAGTGATCATAACCCACCATAAGGAAATATTTCTTTAACATAAATGAAACCAATAACAAATGCAGTCCATTATAGAGGCATTACCATCAGGAACACACTGAACCCCATTGCCGTAGTATCCAGGTTTACACTGGCAGCATCGTCCGCTCGGATAATTGCTGCATTCACCAAATTTAGAGCATTTCTGTCCACCACATTCACCAGAGTTGTATGTAAATACTGTATGCAAAAAAAGACAAAAAAGGGATCATTTCAGCTCAAGAACAGTACAAAGTTGTATATTGTTCTAGTAAATAAACCATTCATGCTGACCGTTAACCTCGATGTTGTCTTCATTTTCGATTTCCACGACCGCCGGTCGTTCAGGTCTGTACTGAACCGTCTGCACCTGGAAGGGTGGAGGATGTTCTGGACGATCATAAACTCCATCCAGGTTCTCCTGCTGGACGTCAGGATACACCGGGTGTTGATGGCTGGGCTTTCTTGTGCTCTGATATTGGTGGGAATCCAAAGGTAAGTCTGGCACTTCTCCAGGAGCGACGTCCGTGAAGTAAGGGAACGTTCCTATTTCATACACCCACACACCACGCTTTCCGGAGTTAGTCTGCCTGGAAAAGACATCCAACAGCATTATGGGGAAACGTGGTCAAAGAACACTTACACTGCTAAACAGTGGACATGCCACCAAAACATTATTAGTTCACCTAAAAATCAAAATCCAGTTGCTCCAATGGAACATACTGTAAGACGAGACCTTCACAAAGATCTTTTTCCTTACAATTCATAGTGAATGCACATCTGTCAAGCTCCAAAAATTACAAAAAGTACCAGGAGACTAAATACAATAAGACTATAAGAAAAAATATATATATATTTTACATACTTAATATTTTGTCTTCCATTATAAATTTCTGAAAATTCTTATATAAAGACATTTAATTAAGAAGGAAAATGACTTCAGATCTTAGATATAAACAGATACAGAAATACATCAACAAAAGAATCCTTAAATCATCCCTAAATACATTTACTTGTTAAGCAAAAATAGTTAAGATATTAAGTTTTGTTTTATGAAAAATGTATCAGTTATGAAAAGTTTATCCATAAAACAATAAAAGAAAATGTCTGTCAGTGAGGAAATAAAAATCAACTTTTTTAAAAAAATTAGTTTGATATTTTTGACCCAATGGACATATTTCTTCTTGTTCTAAGCATAAATTCTTTTTTTTGTTTAGAAAACAAGACTTAATATCTTAAGCTTTTTTTGTTTCTCTAGTTAAATGTATCTTGATTCAAGAATGTTTAGATATTTGTACTAAAGAAAAAAATGTTTTTGCCGATCTCAATAAAATATTTTAGCTCAAAGCGGTTAATAATTAAATATGCTTGATTATTTGATATAAACATTCCTAAATCAATAAAAAAAATTCTTAATTTAAGATATCAAGCTTTGTTTGCTAAAAAAAGTATCAAAATTTATTAATTTATTAAAAGTTTATGCTTAAAACAAGAAAAATATCTGTCAATTGGGTCAGAAAAATAAAAGTGTTTATGTTCTTTTTTTTCAGAAAACAAGAATTAATATCTTAAGCATTTTGCCTCTCAAGTAAATTTTTCATGGTTTAAGAATGTTTCGATATTTGTTCTGGAAAACAAGACAAAAATACAGATTTTTTGTATTTCATTCGCTCTCAAATATCATTCTACATAAACCTATTGTATGCACTGTACTTCTACGATTAGTTTAAGGAGCATTATGGTGTTTTTTGGTCCATTTTGGAGTTTTTTTGACGAGGTCATGATATAATTGTGTAGAAAAGACCCGCATGAAGCTTCTTCTACTTTTCAGTTTCACAGAAGAAAGAAAAAGATTTGGAGCATCATTAGGGTGAGTACATGATGACAATAATTATACTTAGGTGAACTCCAGCACTAACAGCAACCAAACTTACTCAGCCAAGTTCTTGACAGACGCCTCGCTGTCGTCTGTGATGCGATAGTACGGTCCTTGCTTCTTATAAAGCACTAAGTATGTCTTCTGTCCTTTACTGAAGCCGGCATGCATCGTGTAGCTGCTGCCGGTGCTCTGGAACTGCATCGCCTCTCTCGGGTAGAGAAGAATCGCATAGGACTTCGTCTCCAGAGAAGCGATGACCAGCTGAAACGTATTTCGCTATAAGGATAAAGAACATGATTTATTAACTCTTGAGTGTATTTGTGCACGATCAGTTAAATCCATTACTCTTATAATTCACACATGCAGCAATCTACAATGACACAGCCATTGGAAGTCATTCACCTTCAGTGAAAAGTCTGGGATTTTATTGAAAAACTTATATTATTTCAGTTAGTTGCTGAAGCAACATTTCTCATTTTTGTGTAGTTCAAGTTAAAATATTAAAATTACCTAAACTAAAACTGGCATAAATATTAATAAAACTATTCAGACATAATGACTAAATGACTAAAACTAAAATTAAAATATAAAATTAAAATAGTAATAACATATTCAAATATTATATTAATTATACTAAAATAACACTGGATTTTCCCCACTTGTTTTTAACTCTTTTATATTTAAAATAAGTGAAAAGGATCTGCAGTGTAAAATATTTAAAATAAAAAAAGATTTTAAACCTTGCAATTGTGCTTTAATTATGCTTTAAACACATATATAACAAATATAAACACAACACATATTTAAAAAATAAATAAATAAAAATGCGACAAATTGAAAACTTAAAATTAAAACAATATAAAAAATATTAATAAAACCTGTAATAGTATATTAATTACACTAAAATAACTAAAATAATTTTTTCACTTGTTTTAAACTAAATTGTAGTTTAGTAAAAAAAAGCCTTGCAGAGCAAAATGCACTATATGAATATATTCAAAATACAACCTATATGAAGCCTTAAATCTTATGCAAGTATAATTTAATTAAACAAGTTAAAGCTAAATAAACTTGGAATTTGTAAATATTTTAACTGGAAAATAACTATGAATTTTGCAGTACAAGTGAGTAGTATGCATGCATTAATAATAGTGATGCATTTTTTTTTAGGTCCAGAACATACACAGATTTGCATTACCAATAAAGCAAGGCAACCGGCAGTAGAAAAGACCAACAATACATCAATGAAAAATGCATGCTAAAAATGGCTGTATGTGTGAACGGCCCACAAGTAAACTGAACCTCACTCTTCCGGTGGGCTCCAGTCCGTCTCCTCTGCTCTCGGCCCGATGGGACGCCACATCCACCCATGTGACCACCACAGCGCTGATGGGGTTCACCACGTCATCCTCGGGGAAGGCTCTGTTGATGTGATCGGCCGCCTGCCGTAGAAGAGCCGGACTGGAGTCCTGGCGGAAGAACACCTTTCCTACTCCATCGCTGGTGTCCAGGTCGCCCTGCAGAGCAGCGATCATCCCAAAGCCAGCCGGCATGTTACCCAGATACTCCGATTCTCCTGCTGGCTTCTCCAGAGCAACAAAGCCATTGGTGTTGATCTAAATGTGAGAGACAGAAACAATAGCCATAACAAAAACACTACAACATAATTATTTGTAATGACGTTCAGTTTGGTTAATGATTAAATCTACAGCACCACTGCATGTTTTATCTGAATTTAATCTGAATGTTATGAGAGAAAGAATGGATGCTGAAACATAACACAACGGCATCTTTCAATTGCATTGTCTTGCTGGTTGCACGCAACAACAAACATACAGCGTGATCAGTGTAGTCTGATTCACAAACAAATGACTCTTGTGAACAAGTTCTTCTTGATAAATCGGTTTTGAAGACTCAAGGCATCATTTGGATCAGTCAACTGGACCTGTTGTTAGGTTACTCAGTTATAATAAAGCAATTAATTGACTACTTAAAAATGTGTCTAAAATATAGTAAGGGCCAATTATTTAGGCAGGAGAGCACTTAAAAATCAAGAAAACAGAATCGTGAAGTGGAATCAGAATCTGAAATCACTGAATTCCTTATGATCTCTATAGTTGACAGTATCTGTCTAGAAAAAGGGGGGGGGAATGATAGGAATTATGTATATTAAAATAATAAAATAAAATAAAATAATTTTAAAAAATAAGATAATAAAAATAAAAATAAATAAAAAAATTTATAAAATTAAATAAAATAACTTATTGGATTGAAAAACTTAATGAAAATAAGAAATGTTGCCTTGGCAAATTACTGAAATAAAATACCTAAACTGAAATAAAAAATAAAACAAATAACTATAAAGACATATAAATACAAACGGATATAAAACTACTAAATGCCAAAAACACACAGCAAAATGATTACAACTTTAACTAAAATGTTAAAAATATTACTAAAATCTATTATATTAATTATATAAAATAAATATAACACTGGATCTTTTCCCCCACTTGTTTATTATCTCTTTATATTCAAATCAAATTAAATAAAACTAAATTTTATAAAAAGTTAAGTAAAATAAACAAATCAAATTAAATGAAAGATAAATGCACATTCATGTGATTAGAAAAGAGCTACATTAGTTCCCTTCTTCCTGAAACCTTTATATAAAAACAGAGTAAATACTCTTGAAGTGTGCACTGAAACCAACAGAAACTGAGTTGGGAGTTTGTGATGGTTTAGGGAATAAAGTCCATTGCCAAACACCCACATATGTACACACAAGTGTAAAAATCACAGAAACTATCTTAAAAACTAAAAACAATACTGGACAAAACTCTGAACTTGCAAGGCAATACGAATGACAGCAAAACATTTTCATCTGATGACTGTGACTTATTTTGTAGATAATAAGATAATTAGGGATGCACCGATATGAAAATTTTGGCCGATACCGATAACATAAAGAGGACGAAGCAACAAAGCTTCCATGTGGAGTCCTGGAAAGCTCTCCATACAGCAGAATGAGCAATAACTATAGTCTTTTTAGCATAGCCAAAATGAAATCAGACAACCTGATCTCTGTCTTATACTTGACGAGATTCACTGATCCTGTATTATGGCTGGAGCGTCTCGTTTCTGTGCTGCAAAGTCACCCAAGAGCATTGCAAAAATAATGACTGTTTTTAAAGAGGTTTCCGGGTGGCTCATCCTGGTATTGTTCACCTAATGTTTCATAAATACTGTGTACGTCAATATATGGTCACATGCTGTAAGTTGCTTTGGATAAAGTGCCTGCTAAATGCATTGATGTAAATACTGTAAAGTAAGGATTTACAGGCATATAGACATCAGCATCAAAACTCCTCTGCCAATATGGTTTTATTACAGTCATCTTTGTACATTCAAACAAGTACCACAGCAGATGATTAAAACTGAACAGCTACTAAATGGACTGCAAAAATAGGACTTTTTAAAACAGAATTAAAATGAATACAGTTTAGTGAAGAATGAATGAGGAAATAGGTTTAATAAGGAATGTCATGCACAATGTTGAGCGTTTGTACAATGACTGTTCAGCACTTCACTAAAACAGATGTGCACGCTTAGACTACATTTCCAGATGTTTTTCAAACGCTACAACACACGCACTTTGTATTCAGCGGGAGATCCTATAAATCCCGATGAAGGAACGTTTCATTCCTTCTTGTGACTTTGTCATTCATTCAGTCTGCTCTCAAACACGGGAGTTATTTCTGCTTTACAAAACATCATGTTACTAGATACAGCCATGAATTCTGCTCAAATATCCATGGTAAGAACCAAAACAGCTCAAAAAAGGAAACGGAAATTGGCAAAGGAGAGCTGTGGGAAAGGAAGCATTCATGGGACTGTAGTTATGAATGTTTTTGTTAGTCGAGTCCTCTGAGAAAATCCTACATACAGATGCAGAAGTCCTACAAACACATCGTTGTGTCTGGGTCAATCTGACCCATGTTTGATTAACTGGTTAAACTATTCATTTCTTCTTAGAATTTGGTGACTTTTTCTCATGCATGCAAAGTTATTAAAACACAGATATTTTTAGAAAGGCTGTACAGAAACTATGACCTCAAATTGACCCTCATTGGTGTCCATGCAATTTGCCAATTTTGATCAACACTAAAGAATGGAAAACCTTTATTGTAACTTGTCAAACACTAAAATATGACACACATGAGAAATATAAGACTCAAAGTTTACTCAAAACTAATACTTGTTTTCTGAATCATCCACTGGAAAACTACTGTTTCTTCATCTAGTTGAGTTTCACAGCCTACGATTTGGCCAAATGTTGTTTTTTCCATTGCTTTTTTGGATCTAAATAATTAGACTGTTTCAGCACTGAAAATAAATGTGAGAAACCCATTTCACCCTCATATATACAGTATATATATATATATATATTAGTGCTGTCAAACGATTAAATAAAAGTTTTTGTGTGTGTGTATACTGTGTATATTTATTATGTATATACATATATATATATAAATACAAACACATGCATGTATATATTTAAGAAAAATAAGTTATGTTTATATATTAAATATATTTATATATAATATAAAATATGAGAATCTGAATATATAAATGTATAAACGTAAATATTTTCAAAATACATACTGTATCTGTGTGTATTTATATATACATAATAAATATGTGTATATATATATATATATATATATATATATAACACAACAGAAACACAATAATAAGGGAATTATTAAATTTCTCACATATTCATTAATAATAACTATAGGCTACAGGTTTTCTGTTTTTACACAAAACTTTAGATATGATTTTTACCAATTTGATGGGGGGTTTTTTTTGCATGGAAACCAAAATAGTACAAAAATAGTACTGGATTTCAAAACAACAGGAAGGTGAAATCATCTGAACAGTCCAGGATCTGATTCACTCAATCAATACGCACTTAAGCAGGAATGTGTCTGCAGTATTTCACGACAGGAGTCACTCACAGTCAACATGAACGCAAAACTGAAGCGATTTACCTCTGTGATAAACATTCCTGCTCTAACTGTTAATGATTCATCAGAACAATCAATCAAGCACTCACTTCTCCATGAATGAAATCAAGTTCTGCCCTACATTTCTTTTCACCAAGAATATATTGTAAACAAAAAATGATATATATTGATATCCATCGTATGATATCTAAAACAATATTTTGCATAAAATGCCAAAACATTACACTGCTGCATTTAATCATTCTGCTATAACCAGCTCACCGTGAGTTTATCTGACAATAAACCAACTCTCTGAAGTATTCAAACCGAAATAACAATGCTGTTTCAAAACCTCTTCAAACTATCTGTTACTCAATTAGCACTGAGTCACAGCCTTTCTATTTTAAGACAGTATAATGAGCTGTGTTGTCTGTTAACGGCCAAGTGTGCTGCTGTAGTTACAAGTCGATCAGATGGCCGAGAAAACACAGCAAAAACAAACCGCAAAGCGTTTGCATTATGAACATTATTAATCTTTTATTGTAGAAAACACACACTGACAGAGACTTTAGTTTTAGAAATGTTGGCGTTGGACAAGTGTTGGGAATTTCAGCTGTGAATCCTATTTAGACTCAACAGGTTTCAGTAATTCATCCTAAACATACAAACATATTTGATAAATGCTATATACATATAAGACCCAGCTAACAAAAATGAAAATGTTATTTCAAACTTAATACATTCCAAAAATTGCTGAATGTTTTAAAAAAGTTTTTCTTGGTTATGTTAACATTGGAAGAAAGCATTAACGGAATGTTCAATTTGATCATTTTGCAAACATTATGGGAACGTTGCTTCGGAATGTTTTCTGAACGTTCTAAAAGAAGTAGTAACGTTTAAAAAAACAGACTAACGTCCAACTAAAATATTTCAGAAAAATGTTCCACGAATGCTGTACAAATTGTGCTAATGTCTCGATAATGTTATTAAGGACCAGATCATTTTGAACGAATGTCCTATTAACGTTTACTGGAAGAATGTGTCATCATAACTTTGAGAGAACTTTGCCAGAACGTTCTGAGAACAGTCCCTGTTAGCGCAGAATACTGTATGTACTTCATAAATATTACTATGAACTAATATATTTGAATGAATTTGTAGCACTGACCTTTGGCATTACTGGGTTGACCTGCTAAAAATGATTTCAAAGTGTAACTACACTGATTTAATAGATAGATATAGCTTATACCTAAAAATATTTTAAAATCACATCACTATTCTGGACATGTACCATTGTAATTTGCCCTTGAAGTGGGATAAATACCAGTGCATGAATATGGCAATTATTTTTAAACATTGTTTATATCAAAGTATGTTTTACTAAAGTCATCATATTACGGAAGTGAATGTATCGCAGACTCGCAGTATTGTATATCATCAGTGTTACTTTGTAAATGTAATAGGTTACAAATTACCCTATTTAAAATATAAGTACTGTAACTATTTCACTTCCTTTATTAAAGTAATGTAACTGATTATATTTGATTGCTTTTCTAAATTTCTAACAAATGTTTTCAGCTAAGTCAACCTTACAGTAGGCTACTCAACACTGATTACATCACTTGAATTAGGACTATAATAACTGAATTTTAAAACACAGCCACCTTTAAGACTTTAGCACCTCTTTTTACTTTGAGATAATTCTGAGGTAAATACAGATTTAAAACCATAACAAGAAATAGTTTAATAGCCATGATTCTGTTTTTGAAATCAAATCTCTGCATAGCTATGAGAGGAAACACAGGCATCTAAAAACAACAACAACTGTTAATCTTAAAAATAAAGCATATGCATAAACCCAAATAGAAAATAAAACACCTATCGAATAAGTTTGTGTCCTAAACTCCTGAAACATTGCTGTCTCATATTTTAGAGCAGTCAGTGCACTTTGGGAAAGAAATCGATCAAATCTGTATGTGTGTGTGTGAAAATATTCAGATGTTACACGTTTTCATAAGTAACTGTAATTTGATGACACATTTTTTTCAGTAACTGTAACAGATGCGCTGATTTATGTTTCTGCCAGTGGGTGCTCACCCTCCACAACATCTGTTTGGAACAAAAATGCTACTTCACAGTTAAACTAAATCTATAACATTTGTTGTGAATAAAGTAAAATGAAAAGTTGCGATCGCGGTTTTAAATTTAGATCTGCTCATATTGCATCAGATTTCTTTTTACGCTTTTTATTATATAGCGTTGCGCATTATAACCAATCACACATGATTCTGTTGAGCTTACGAACGCAGTGGCCAATCAGAGGTGTTCAGATGAATCATCGCTTTGTGAGTGCACGCAATCGCAGACTGAAATCTGCACTCTCGCAGATTTTCTCCACATCAACAAGTGCAGATGCACGTTACATTTATATGTATTCTTTTAGCAGATGTTTTTATCCAAAACGATAAAAGTGTACGAACGATGTAAGCAAGAGATTAATTTCACAATGCAGAAAGCTATTTAATTTAAATATTTTTTTGAGAAAAATTCGTAAAAAATTCTAATTAGTGCTTGAAAGAGTCATACCGGTTTGAAAAGACACAATTGTACTTTCATTACAGCACCAAAAATATATGGCTGATTGAGAATGGCTGCTGATGTTACTTAATACAAACCCAATTCCAAAAAAGTTGGGACACTGTACAAATTGTGTAGCTTCTGGTCAGACAGCCTAATTAATGCTCAGGACAGAAGTGTTCACTGCATCATCAGCGCTTGTCCTTTTGATAGTATAATAACTGATCACCATCCAAAAGACCATCAGAGCATGACCTTTTTGGCACAATGTCTTTCCCTTTGAAGCTGCACAACAACTGGCAATACTATCCTGAGTTAATTGCACTGTGCACAAATGAACAGTGACATGAGAAGAATGTGAGATTACAGTGGATAGGCTACATATGAATGCAAACTAACTGGATTGGATGGTTACTTTAGTTAATTAGGGGTTAGAGGTTAGTACTGTAGTCTGTAGTCTAGAGGTGCCTGTGGTGCTGTAATACTGAATAACAGCGCCACCTACTGCTCAATCACATCTCTACAACAAATCCCAACTCACGCCAGAATGCATTTTTGAAATTTAAAGTTTAAATTGAGGTGGCAGACCAAATGCAATTCAAGTTTGATTTTTTTTTTACTAAAATGGAATGAAATTCATATAACTTAGATTTTTCTCTATGAATTGCATTTATCAATCATTTGTGCTATTTGCAGAAACTTGAAATTATAATGTTCAGTGTCTGAAGTGCCACTTTGTCTTTAATGAAATTTGTATTTATTTTAAACATATTTAACTATATACTTAAATGTTAGACCATGATGGAAGAATGCATAATTTCCCAGAATGCTCTATTGTCCATTATAAATCTTCTAAGAGGAGCCAAACAACATGAAGTGAGTTTTCCAGCTGGAAACCTTGAACAAAACACATAAGAAATCATCTGCTCTGGAACAGTTTAGTTGTTATGTTGAACTAATGAAATTCCTCTGTTGAACATCTTTAATTCCTCTTCCTGTCATTCCAATTCAACTTCCTGTGTTGTGCCCGAATTGAAAGGGAGCCAGTTTTTATTAGATTTTTTTCTTCTCAATCCTGCTACATGAAAGCAACATATTCATGGCTTTAATTCAAATAATAAGGCAAGAATATAGTGAAATGTCACTTTCTGCCTTTCCAAACCTGTATGATCTTCTTGTGAATTTATGAAGAATTTCTGATCTTCAGAAATTTCAGAAGGGCTGTTGAGCTCCAAAAAACACAAAAAAACACCATGAACGTACCGCAGTACTTCTTCACAAATCACAAAGAGTATGTCTGGGTTATATAGTTATAAACTGAGACACATGAAATATGAAAAGATACATTAAATTCCCTAATAACCAGATCAAATGACCTTTATTGCACTGTTGATTGATTTGTCTCCCAGCTGTCCTTTGCTACCCTGTCTCAGAGTACGATGACAGCTTGACCTCTGACCTCTGGGCCAAGCTGCATTCATCACTGCATTTCTGACCTGTGAATGAGAACCTAGGCTTCACCAGCAATAATTCACAAATACAGTCCCAGACACAGAGAGGTTCTCATGGCTAGAGGAGCGTGGTCAAACCGGAGGTTAGTCAAACAGAAACAAATGCTTAAAAGCTGTAACCCCTTTTCATCCGGCTGTAATGAGCTTATAGTAATAACTGGACTGGCTAACACAAGTCTGAAGTCAAAAAGAGCCAACACAGACTGAATATTAATTAGTTTCCTTACTTGATTATTAATTAGTCACTTGCTTTTAGCAAACTGACTAGAAACAAGTATTCAGCATCTTAAATGAGCTTTTAAACATGACTGAAGCAGAAACATTTTAATACAACTAAACAAAAAGGGTGATTCTAATATAATACATTTCTTCAGTCACAAACAGGTCAGTGTTGTTAAAAAATACAATCAAATATAAAAGTTAGATGGAAAACTTAGAAAATTAAAAATGTTGCAACTAATTGAAAAATAGGTTTTAAGTTAAAGTACTAAAATTACTAAAACAATAACTGAAATAAAGCTAAATAGAATGCAAATTATTGTTTAAATAAAGTGATTTATATCAAGTTAAAACCTGGGTCTCATTATGCAAAGCAAATAACAAAGTCTTTAAGGCTCTAATGAAGCTTCACGTTTGTAGATTGCTCTATACTTTAGTAAAAGGATTTATACAATATTTATACAATAACATACAATAATTAGGATTTATGGCAAACTGAAGGAAAATGCAAGTAAATAAAAAAATTGCTGAATGAATGAATGAAAATTAAAATAAAAAAGATCATTTAAAACATTAGGATTAATGTCCTAATGAAGGAAGACGCAGAACAAAATGCAAATAAACAAACAAACAAAACAAAATAAAATAAAATAAATAACTAATCCATAAATTCTGATTCGGGGCCTACTTGGGGGAGGGGGGCTTGCAAGTGCACCTGGTTTATATGAAAATTAATTAATACATACCTACATAAAAATTGCCCCTTATTTAAACAGTATAAAATTGCTTATATAGAGATGTAACATGCGTTTCATTATGTACAGCAAATAATTTCCTCTACTGAATCTTCAAGGTTCTAGACTATTCTATAAGAGGATTTACACAATATTATACAACTTATACAATAGCTAAGATTTAGGAACATGCAAATAAATCAATAAAAACAAATGCATGAATGAAAATGAAAAAAAAAAAAAAGATTTATACTAATTCCAAGAATTAAGATTAATGTCCTAATGAAGGAAAATGAAGGAAAGGAAATCTGAAAAAAAAAAGTTAGTATATAAATTATATTAACTCTGATTTAAAAAATAAATAAATAAAAAAAGATTTGGATCCCACTAAAGGAAACAAAAAAACTGCAAATGTCCCTGGTTTACATGACTTTTTTTTTTTTTATTAAATAAAAAAAAAATATTTTAGCAAAAGGATTTATGCAATGTTTATACAATAACTTATACAGTACTCTTAATGACTTGGATCCAACTGAAGGAAAATACAATCAAACGAATGAAAAAATGTAAATGAGGAAAAAGTGAAGAAAACAAATGCACTTGCCCCTTGTTTATATATAAAATGGAAAAAGAACGAAATGAAACGGTATCCATACAGTATAAAGTTACCTGTAACCTGTGTTTCATTATGTAAAGCAAATAAACTGCTCTACTGAATCTTCATGCTACACTCTTAAAAATAAAGGTGCTTCACGATGCCATAGAAGAACCTTTTTTGTCTAAATGGTTCCATAAAGAACCTTTAACATCAGAAGATCAAAAAAAGATGCTTTGCGAAAGAAGGTTCTTCAGATTATAAAAAGGTAAGAAAGAGATGCTTCTTTAAAGAACCTTTGAAAAAATGCTTCTTCTATGGCATCGCTGTGAAGGACCTTTGAAGCACCTTCATTTTTAAGAGTGTAACCTGTAAAAATTCAGATTTGTTTCTACTCAAAGGGAAAAATGTTGGTTTATGGGCATTAAAAAAGAAAGAAATTAAAATGTAAATTGTCCCTGGTATATAAAGTAGCTTATATAAAGAGTTGCGTTTCATTCTATAAAAGCAACTCTGCAAACAGCCATATATTGTGCAGAGAACGCAGCATAAGCATCCCGTGGGAGTCTGCCAGCGCTGGGAAGCTGAGCGCAGGGTTAAAGGTACAGTAGAGCACGTCAACACAGCGTCAGAGGGGCTGTCCTTCCTCCTCCTCCTCCCTCCGCTTTCACTGCCCGCTGCACAATGCTCTTTCTTTTCCTCTTTCTCCCTCGTTTCCTTCCCCTAAACGCTGGGCTGCTCTCAGAGGCTCGTTTCCTCCAGCAGAATCAGGGCTGTGGTGATTTTAAGACGTGAAGGAGGAGCAGCAGAAGCCGCTGGAGGAGGAAAGGCCCCTTCTAGACTTGCTTCTCCAGGCAGCAGGAGGAACGCAGAGCCATGGAGAGCGACTCGCTCCCTCCTCCGCCGACCTTCAGCCCGGCCGTGCCTCCTTTCGTCAAGCTGGGGCTGACGGTGGCCTACACCATCTTCTACTCGCTGCTCTTTGTGTTCGTGTACGTGCAGCTCTGGCTGGTGCTGCGATACCGACACAAGCGCTTCAGCTACCAGACGGTGTTTCTGTTCTTGTGTCTGCTGTGGGCGGCTCTGCGAGCGCTGCTCTTCTCCTTTTATTTCAGAGACTGCGTGACCGCAAACACGCTCGGACCCTTGGCTTTCTGGCTGCTCTACTGTTTCCCAGTCTGCCTGCAGTTCTTCACTCTCAGCCTCATGAATCTGTACTTCGCACAGGTGAGTTCGACACCTTTGCACCTTGCAGAGACAGTAAAATCTGTTTTTAAGACTACAGGTCACATGCACATTTATGAGAGCAGAATGCAAACAAACAAAAACGTATTTTAGACATTAAAATGTAAGCAGGAGGAGATATTCTGTCCATTTTCCTCTATCTTTTTATATATGGAAGCAACTCTCTGTTCCTGGTTTTATTAAGCATATTTCATAATGCATAAATGCATAGTTAATTCCAAAGAGAAATGGTCTTTTTATTCTTTTACCAAAATGATGTCAGTCCCTTTTATTTATCCAGCCACCTCCAGTGTTACTTTAACATCACTGATACACCGTTATAGTTTTTGTTAATATTATAAATTAGATTTTATTTTCACATTTTGTTTTTATTTTAATTTTAGTTAAAGTTTTAACAATTATGTATTCAATTTTAGTATTACTGGTATGCCATTATGGTTTTTGTTAATATATTGGAATTAGATTTTATTTTTACATTTTGGATTTTAATTTTAGTTCATTTTTGAGTAATTCTGTTATTTTAGTATAACTGGTATACTATTATAGTTTTAGTTAATATTTAAAATGAACCATATATACACCATATATAACATATTTTGTTAATATTTTAAATTTTATTTTCAGTTTTTCTTTTCATTTTACTTAAAGTTTAATAATACATATTTAAACGTTAATTACTCAACTATAATTATTAAAATAAGAAAATAATTCAGATTTAGTAATTTTGTTGTTTTTGTATTATTGGTATACAATTATAGTTTTTGTAAATGTTTTAAATTATATTCTATTTTTAGATTTTTGCTTTGTTTTATTTTATTAATTTAAATTTTAGTTATTTTTATTTTATTACTAGTTTTTTTACTTTTTGTTTTATTGGTATACCATTATAGAGTTTATTAATATTTTAAATTAGATTTTGTTTTTATATTTTCTGTATCATTATTTAAAATTATTATTATTTATAAGTTTTAGTAATTGTGTTGTGTTTTTGTCATTTGTATTAGTTTTTTTAATATGTCTATATAGTTCTTATTTCATTTTAGTTTGTTATTTTTTAATTACCTCACCTTAAACTAAACAAGAGAATAAGAATAATGTTGCCTTGTCAACTAGCTGAAAGATTTTAATAAATATTTTACTTCATTTTTAGATAATGTTGATTTGATCTTATAGTAATAAAAACGTTTTTTAATGGTTTTAGTTTTAGTTAACAATACTAATAACTCTGGCCACCTCTTCACCATCCAATCAATATCTAATGGATAAAATAAAAATATATAAATCAGATTTATCTCATTAGTCAAACCATAGATCTTTCATGCGAAAAGCATCTTGATCTCTCAGAGTGGATTATGTAATCATACTGTATAATATAGAAAAAACACTCTCCATTCGTCATTATTGCTGCGTAGATCATAATGATATGAACTATATGAGAGCTGTGTGTATGAGAGCAACTAAGGTCATTATTGATTCTAGAGCTTATGTCAGTTCAGTTCAATGTTATGTGTATTGTATATTCTCACAATGCGTATTGTTTCAAAGCAGAGATATTGCAGTATAGAACTATTCTTCCTGTTTTATTATGATCACAGCTGCATGTGTAAATGAATCATACGTGTGGGAGTACAGCGCGAGCAAAAAAAGAGAAGTGAAATCATTGACTGCGGTCTGAAGCATTGACACTACACTATAAAAACACTACAGGAAAAACAAAAGCTGTGAATTATTTACTCTAAATCCCCATATACATACAATAATCAACTGATTTATAATTAACACGACAATGCATGTTATTTTAAATGCAAAACACAATACTTTTGTCATTTAGCACACGGTACTTTATATATGCTTAAGAACTGTAAATTGTGCATTTTTGGAATAAACGAGTGCAAGTTTTTATTGTAGAGTGAACTGGATTTTTTAAGTCTAGTTTTATTCAAGCTTTCTCTCACACTAATGTCATTTGTAAAGGCCCGATCAGGTTGAAATAGCTCAGTAAGGTAACTTTTACAGTATATGACACTCTTTAGTCCCCCAAATGTGCCTGAATCAGATCTTATGTAATATTTCTGAACATGCGGATACTGTATGTCAGTGCAATGTTTCAGATGGAGATGAGCAGTAAAGCACTTGCTTGTTTCTGTTATGACCAACATGCTTCGACAAAGGAACTGGTGACTTTTATGATCCTGAATGTGTCATTCTCTGTTTAATAAGTCATGAGCTTAAATGCTTTATGCATGCAGTATTTACACTAACTTACAGCTTGTTTTCTGGTTCAGGTCATCTTCAAGGCGAAGTCTAAATATTCACCAGAACTTCAGAAGTACAGGTGAATATGGATCCAAAAACTCTCATCTGAAACTTATGTATTTGTACTTTTAAAAAATAAGTTTTGTTTATAATTTTAATGTTTATATATATATATATATATATAATTCTTCCAAAACTTTGGAATAATATATATATATATATATATATATATATATATAATTCTTCCAAAACTTTGGAATAATGTACCTCAAAATCTATCCAGATTTTTAAAATCGCACTTATTTTTCGTTTTTCAAAATGTTTTGTTTTTACTTCTGTATTCTTTCTTTTTGCTTGGACTATGGATTTGTTTTTTTTATTATGTATTTTGTATTTGTTAAGCGACCTTGAGGTCCTGAAAGCAGCTATATGAAATAAACTATTATTATTTATTTATTTATATTAATGTTATCTGAATATTAAAATCATGTGGAAAAAATAATTTTTTTTTATTATAATCGAAATTACATGCAAAAAGGCTAATAAAAATATATATTTTTTAAATAAATACTACAGTTTAAAACGTTTTTATTCGCTTT